TTCTAAACTGATGGATGTTCAAGTTAACCATTACACTACGGTTGCACAATATGATACTACATTTCCCTTCGGAGTGACTCCTGTTTGCTCAATTACGGACAAATTTGTAAGCTGAAGGATTAAAAAACGCAATCTGTTTTTTGAATTCATGGAAAGATGTAATTTACTCTATCTTTTTTAAACTTCCTAAACTTCAGTTTATCCAAAACTTGAGTTACAAATTTGCTTGCGCTCGCGTGTAAACCCACCTAATAACATCCAAACATTTTCCACTATAAAAGTTTAATACCTTTAACTCAATTCCCTGATGTCATAAATATTATTTATTTAGAGCATTAACTAATAAATTCTTTAACTTAACTCTCAGAAATGGTCCGAATCTACCATTTGTAAATAGCCGTATTGTTGACTTAATTCGTTAAGTTATCATTAATTTCCTTTACTTAAATCTTTTTCGTCGCAACCCTTAATGCTTTCAGGTCGTGATTCCTGGACGGAATTTTTAAGCCATATATCAAAATGACCCACAATTGTTAAAGTCGGATTTTCTAAATAAATTTTTACGATAAATGTCTTATTAATGGCATGGTGAATTTGGATTTAATTCGGAACAGGTAAATTAATAACCTAGTTTGAGAAATAAGAGTTGAAACATATCTTATTGAATTGCCTACTTACTAGATATAGGCCTTAGGTCTGAAAATATTGTTCAATATGACCAAGGAGAATTATAAAATTTATATTTTCGCAATTATGATTAGTATTCTGTATATAGATAAAATAAATTATATAAATTCGATTTACTCTAATCGAATGCCTTCTAGAAAGTCACTTCATGAATAATCTGGATGCCAAACCTAATGAGTACAAGGTCAATTTATATGCTAAATAGTTGAGATGTTCAGGCCGCCGTTGACCCTTCGATCAATTTTATCATGTGCCAAGCGTACTTTGTACATAGATGTACAACCCCATTCTAAATTGTTTATCAAAAGTATGTCACCACTGGAAGTCACTTGTTTGCCCGGATGTGAAGCTGATCGTTGTTCCGCAATCGTCCCTGATTCTGGCAACTTTCATGTTATTGATGGCTCTCGAATCCAGCAGGTATCTGATCCAAAGGTTCCTATAAATCAACCACATGTCATCCGAATACCTGCTAAAAGGGGTGTGGTAACATAAACTTCTAATAATCTCTGTAGAATTAAGTATCTCTCAAGCTGGTTCTCATCCAATCTCATTTGTAAATTACGAAGGTCTCAAAGCTGATATTGAGACTGAAGGTTCAGTAAATTACAAAAAGCTAAAGGTAGCTTATATTCCTAATGTTACAGGAAAATTAGGTGTCGGACTTATCGATTAAGACTCATGGCGACGTTATTGGCTCTGGTTACCTAGAGGGTAATCTTAGACTCAATACTGAAGGAGGTGTAAGTATCATCTATTATTTTCATATTTTGTATCGATTATTGGATTTCTCCTTATTTTGTTGTTTTCAGTCATTTAAAGCTGACAACATCACAAGTCAAAACATCGATATCATGTTCGGTGGAACAGACCTCTTTGTACATTCCGCTTATTGTGAAACACTGAATCTTGGTTGGATCGTTCCACCAGAGCCTACAGACGGCGTCACACCGGCTACTTTACCTCCTCTTAGCATATACTTTGGAACTCTACGAGGAAACGCAAATATTGAAATTGCTGGAGATGCGAAGTTGAATATCGGTAGCTATGAGGGCTCTCTGTATCTTCGTCAACGCTTTGGCAACGTTGCTGTTCATATTGGTGGCCCCTGTCCTCTTCTACAGATTGATGTAGCTGAAGGCAATGTTGAATTGAGCCTTCCGCTATCCACAGTTGGGGAACAATTGTCTGGCGCTGTTGAAATTCAAGCTTCTAAGATTATTATAGATCGAGAAGCACTGCCGAAAGACTGTTTGGACAACTGGGAGCTTGGGGAAGCTGCTGAAGCCGAAACATTCTTTGGTTAGTTTTTAGCAAACCTTGAAATATTTATTATCTATAACCTGTGGTGATATTTGCTATGGAGTTTGCGGAATTTATTGTGTGCCAGTGTGTTCCAAACATCTAATTGAAAGAAATTCAACATTCCCCTTTGATACTACTCGTTTGCCTACTAGTGCTCTATTAATATTATAGTGCCACAACTACTTTATCCCTGTCACATATACTGTTGGGCGGCTGTTTATTAACGACACCGACAACTCTCGTCACCAAAAATCTCTACCACTACGCTACGGTTACCATCATTTTTTTTATTTTAGCCAACTTTAACAGTCCCTCCGAAGACAGCGAGGTCCTGTGGAGAGTCCGGACACTCAGAGGTCAAGTCAAATTAACCGGTGCTTCCTGGGTTGAAGCAATGTCTCGCTGTATCGATCGAGCCGCAGCAAACTTAAAGACCTAGTTCCGGACCCAAGAGAAAAAACAAGTTTTATTTGGAAGTAGTTGTATATACTTTAGTATTTCAATAAAAAAGATCAGTGTAGTTTCATGATACACAAGGAGGATTGCACACTGGGGAAAGAAGAGAAATCCTTAGCCAAACATATTTGCTTCCGTTGCAATTTCTGCTCGTAGTTTGCTCTTCTTGCTTGCTCGCTGTTGCCTCTTGACAGCTAGAAGGAATTCGCGTTGAGCACGGCGCCTATCCTCCCGCCTTTTACGTTCTCTTATCTCCTCTTGACTCAAAACCGTCTGAGCGGCGGACCGCTTGCTTGTCTAAAGTAAACAAAATATATGAAGGTCACTTATGCTCAACGATCTTTCTATGACCCAGTTATAGCAGGGTTGTGTATGACGGTTCAGAAACGAATTCAAACATAAGCTAGACTAGAAGGTTAACGAATCAGATATCTAAGGTTTTGGATCTTCTAGTAATGAAAGTCTGTTTCAGGTTGTAATAAATATTTAGATCTATTTAAAGGGTTGAGGGGTGTACGATAGACTTATCTCCATATGGTGCACCCTAGGCAACGTATACTCATGGCAAAAAAGTCTATAAATCGGCAGTTGACTTCTGACTTCAAACTACTCCCACTGTATGCCATATTCAACCCATTTCACAGTACTCATCTTACCTTTGCTCTTTTGTCTCTCTCTGTCACATCTGTGAACCATTATTCTGTCCCCCCCTCTCGACCTTTTGCCACTTTGATATTCCTCCTCCTCTCTGTGAAGCCTGAAATCAGCTAAATGGCTAATAACTATCAAAACGCCTGCCATTTGAAATAAATAAATTTAAATGGTTGAAAAGAGATCCTATGTTTAAGTACGTGATAAACGTGGTCTTATATTTAATGGATTTCGTTGCACATCTGGTAATCTTCATGAGCAAATTAAGTTCTTAAGGGTGCGACGAAATCAAAATTAAGCTTTTCTCCAGTACCCTAAATCACCATGTTTAAATGCGATGCAATGAGACTGATATTAGGTGAAATGCGAAACAATTGACAAAAGATGTATACGGCTTACTTCTTCAGACCAGAGAAGCCGGATTGAGTCGACAAATTCCAATGATTACTACATTCCGTTCAATTTCCAATAGTTAATGGCATACTTACAGTGGAAATAGAGGCGTTTTCCCTCGCAAGGCTTTTTGCGTTTTCCTCTTCATCATTATCAGAATCTCTATCTTCTTCAGAATCCGCAGATTCATCATCTGAGTTCTCGTCACTAATGGAATCTTCCCCTGAGGACTCTTGTTCGCTCCCGTCTTCATCACTCTCTTTTTCAGTTTTCAAAGCAAGGGCCGCAACTGTACCGACAAGGAATTCCGAATCATCAACCTGGCGAGGTTTCCGACCCCTCTTGGTGTCCTTTGATTTCTTCTGAACAGAATAACCGGGAGCTTTTAGCTTGATGTCCATATTGCCAGTTCGGCTAAAAGGGGAATTGAAAAGATTAGAATGCATTATTCCAATAGTAGTAATAGGTTTTCGTTAGGAAATTTACGGGATCTCGTTCAGATTTCGCGGAGGCATTTCGTCGGGAGCAATGTCGAGGAATTTGCCAAAAAATGAGAGGATTCCATCCAAATCGCGTTCGTATATCCTAAATTAATAAGTAATAATTATTTACCTCCGAGAGCACAAGGGTGGAGTAAAAATTGAAAGTAGTTAAGATAATTCCAGAAATAACCAAATTCCCTTCAAAACTATGCATTCCAACATTCATTTATAGTAAAAATAGTATGCTAAGGAAAGGCGAAAGTATTCTGGATTTGCTCTGGTGTCACGATCACATTTTAGTAATCTAATCCATCTTTGGCATCGATGATTGATTCATAAAATATAACTATTGACTAGAACTTTATTTACACAACGTCGTACTCTCAGGAAAACAATTACAAATACTAAAGGAGCAGCGTAATGTAAACCTTAAGAGACAAAAGAATGTTTGTTCTACAAGAAATTTCGCTCCAAGAGAAAAGAAGGACGAGATTTTCGACTCAACTTGGTTTAGTTAGTACACTGAGCACAACCTTAAATTTATAAAAATTCAACTCGGTACCTAAATGAATAGTAATTTTGATTATATGACAATAAACTTACTCCTGAGCAGACCAATGATCACGACTTATCATTTGGGGGAAATCAATGAGCACTAGCTTGGCTCTCTTGGCGATTGCCGCAGCATCAGTTTCTTCCCCCAGTTCATCAACAAGGCCGGATACGAGAAGATTGAATTCATTGAAATCACCATGCACAAGTCCTTCCGCAGTGATTTTAGCCAAGATCTCTTTAGCTTGGGAATAGAGAGAAGACGCTAACGAGGCATTTTCTGCCCGTAAAGTGGCAGGAAGAACTTTGCAAAGGGGGACAGCATCTGAAATTAGGCTCATTACGACAGCATTGCGGTTGTTAGCCAGAGGACAAGGAACTGGTAGACCGTCATCATAGAGAATCTACACAACGCAAAATACACGAGTTATAGTCTACAAAGATATCAATAGGTAAGTATCCTGCATATCTTAACGCACCTGCATCATTTCATACTCTCTCTTAGCAGCCAGCCTATCGAGATAGAGCCAGGAGCATGTATTTCTACCCTGATGATATTCTCTCTTCTCCCTAACTTTTCGAAATGAGGTTCTACCTAGACGATGGAACTTGATGACAATATATTCGCCATTTGCAGGGAGGTCTGAGTGTTTTTTCTCGTCTTCTAATTCATTATTTTGCTGTTCATCATGACGACCACAATTTTCACCAGCTACCGCAAGGTAAACATCGGATTCTTTACCCACACCGATAATAGACCCGAGATCACAGATTTGGCCACTCTTTATGAGGGTATGAAGAGCAAGATAGTCATATCCTAGATTAGTTAGACGGTAACCGGAGTAACCTATGGAAGAAATAAACGAGAGGCTAAAATACAACTCAGAGCTTCGAAAATTTCATTAATCACCCCGAAACGGGAGACTTAAAATAAGATCATGGTCATCATAGTTGGACTTTACCTTTTTTGTTATCTGTTTCGTAGGCTAGTAACCCGTGAGGGACTAGATCATCGCGGAGAAGTTTGAGAAATGAGGAACCACGACGAGTACATTTAGAGATCTTGTGAACCAAATCTAAAGGAACGAACTCATGATTTTTCATTCCCATTTCGACAGCCATAAGAACACGCCATGCTTCGGTGGACATATACCGGAACTGATCGATTTTTATAGACTTGGGCATTGTGAAAGACTGGGGTAAGTGAAAATAATTTCAATCAATAAGGTATTAAAATACAAGACAAATACCAAAATAAGTCACGATATTGTAATTAAAAAAAGATTTCATAACTTAAATTAATTTTATCTTAAAATAGATAGGATACATAGTGATAAGGCGAATAGTCAAACTGACACCATCAAAACTCACGTTAGGGAAAAAATGCAAAGCGCGTAGTCGTAGGAAGCTTAAAACAAATCAGTAGCATATTTTCATTGCCATAGCTATAAAAATAGATAAAATTTGGAACTTTACACATTATTCAATGCATATAATAGGCTTTCTAAAACCAAAAATTAAAACTTTGTTTGTCTGTTTCTACAATAAGATCGTAAACGAAGATGTATTTTTTGGTAAATATAAACCTTTATGTAAATTAAATTTATATTCGGGTTAATTGAAACGGCAAACAAAAACTAGAGATCGATCTATATCAATTTAAAAGCTATCTTAACCGAAAGACTCATAATCGTCCGGTAAATTTAATAAATAGAGTATGTGCATATCTGCTTTTATATAATTAGTCAAAATTAAAAATTTCCATTTACTGAAGCTGAATTTGATCATTTTTTACACACTAAAAATATTATGGCGTATAGGAATCTATGAAATTTTCCTTAAGAATTAATTTTGAAATCCTGTTCCAATGTTTACCTTTCAGTTGTAGCTCATGTTTAACCCCAGCTCATAACCGAAAGTAGATAATATTGTCATTTAAAGTAAAGCAAGAGTATTTAATTAGAATATATGGATATTTCTGCTCAATTACTCTGAAATGATCTGAAAATTATGTATTGTAATTTAGTATCCGGGAATAATACAATCACTTTAATATTCATACGGAGATAGAGTTATAAAATAATGTGCTTAGTTTAATTTACTTAGTTTAAGGGCTAAAATATTAATACTTATGAACAATTAAGAGTGAGAATATTGCGATATCGATCCTATGCGATCATAGATTTATAGGAATAGGTATAATTGAATCAAATATAATTAATTAATGGCTCTATTGTCTGACCGATCGTATTCTGACAATTCATTTTATGCAGCATTTAATCTTTTCCTGCCAATCATAATCTGAGCAGACCAAGCGTAAAATCATATTATGATCGCCAGTTTAAATCTCCTTCCTCTTCTCTATGATCTGAACGAGAATAGCACGCCTTGGTCACCATAATTTGTTATAAAATAGCAATTCCCTAAAAATAATTATCTCATATACGAATATTTACTTTTAGCCGTCGACTTCCATTTTATTCGAACGAATTCTGTTAAATTATTTGATTAAAACGTTTATAAATAATTCGGCCTATCTGAAAAATTTCAACTCTTCAGAAAGTATTTTTTATTGAATAATTATATCTGTACCCGATAATTGGCGGACAGTCTATAGGATAGCCTCAAGCCATCCAAACGTCAACATGCAGAGAAGACAATAGGAACATATCGTAGCTCGTGGAAATGGAGACTGGGAAATAGGAAGTATGTCGATTAGCCCCTACACGTCAGCTCTTATAGTAATTATCAAACAAACGTGCCTCCGTATCCTCTTTGAAATCTCTCGTCATTTGTTCTCTCGGTATTAGGGTTTGTGGTAAACGACTTAAAATATGATTCGTCGCGATTTCTCTAAGCCCATGATCTTATTGTCGTAAGAAGCTGATGCTCGATTCGACCTCCTAAGTGGAATCTAATTGGAATCGTACATCAAACTTTCACTCAAAAATACCGTTTGACACTGGATTGAGGAACTAGACTTGTAGGGTCTTGATTCAAAGAGAATTATAAATAAAGAAGGACCTCCTCCATACTTAACCAACTTCAAACATGTAGCAGATTCATCCATCCTTCATATTTCTATTTACGTGCTATTTTTTATGAATGGTACCTTGTCACTTCGGTTTATTCAAACAGCATGTGCGCCAGCACCATGGTAAAAGATGATTTAAGATGAAGATTGACTTTCTTTAGTAGCAAAATAGAGCTTTAACAAGAATCATCCAAAAAAGACAATGAAGATATCGATTAATAAAAATGAAGGAAAATATTATTTATTTGTTTATTTCAAATTTCAGGCGTTTTGATAGTTATCATTAGCCCTTTAGCTGACTTCGGGCTTCACAGGGGGAAGGAACATCAAAGTAATAGAAAGTCGAGGAGTGGGAAACAGAAGAGTGATTTACAGATGTAAAGAGACAGACACGAAGGCAGAGAAAGAGTAGGATGAGTACTGCGGAAGTGGTAGAATATGGCATACAGTTGGGCCATTGTAGTTTTAAGCCAGAAGTCAATCGCCAGTTAATAGACTTTTTTGCCGTATGAGTATACGTTGCCCAGTGTGCACCACGTGGAGGTAAGTCTATCACGCACCCTATGAAGAAAAATATTTAAAGTATGAGATAAAGTCTCTTTTAACAATAGATTGTTCAAAAATTACCGAAACCCCAAGGACAGGAGACTACTATAAAAAACGGTGGACCGTATCTTCTTTTCAAAGGTGATGCTATTCAAGGTCGTTCAAAAAAGAAAAGTCATTCCTTAATGCATGAAGCTGAAAAAGAATAAACATAATTTGAAAACGGCCCTTTAAAAGTCGCTAAGGAGAAGACGACTTTGTTTCAACAAAAATCTGTAACCAAAAGACCTAGAAGCATACGTCCCTCATATTTTGCCACAAACTATCCTCTCTCTCGCTTCAGTTGCACTAGTATTTCCAATTGTTATTTCCATAGAAAATTCGGCTGAGGCAGCCAATTGAGACAAAATTTGGCCTCCATTTGCCCGAGCAGGTTTAAAAATAACACATTAATGGAATTTGCCATGTCCTAAGTAATTGCAGCACGGCGTGTCCACAAGCCTACTGTGCCCTAAATAAATAATAATCAGCTCGAAATACTGTCCACTTTAAAAATGGACAAATCATATATGCCTCCTTTATAAATTATCAGTTACCCTTTATTAAACCCATAACTACTCAATCTCAAGGAAGAGAAACGAGAGGAATTATAACTAAAAAGAGTTTTGCTATTGTTAAAATTAACTTTTGAAGGCTTAATATGGACTTGATTATGTGATAAGTTATTGAGAGTCTGGTTAGTTAATAATTACGGCGTCCAGGTGTGAGAATGGTAATTCAGTACTCGTTGATCTAGTACATAATGAGGAAGTTTGCTGTTTCTTCTTGAATGCAGCAAAATATTCGGTTTGCATCCTAGCATCAACCTAAAAGGGAGATAAGGAAGGTTGCTGCATTTTTAACCTTCTCCAGAAATCCCACGTTCGACCACCATTATCAAAACTCTAAAATGCCTCCGTCAGTGCAGCCACATATAGACTAAAATCACCCTCATGGGCCTCGGCATTACCGAGTGATATATACTAATAGTCAAGGAAATAGTTCCTGCTAAACATGTTCCTCACTTCATCCGCCCCAAATTGATCCCAATCTTGTTTGACCTATCCATGTAACCTCATATTTAACCTCGATTGATCCGATTTCGACGTGGTCTTTAAATTTGCCTCAGCCGACGCCATCAATAATAGCCTCCACCAATTATTCGTAAATCTTTTGCTGTAGCTTCCTTTCTCATTCTCTGCCTAATTTTAGTGATTGTGGTAAACAACTTCTCATGTTACTATTGGGGGAGAAAGTGGAAAAAGTTCATAAACCACTAGGCTTTTGGTACTGGACGTCGCTTCGTTTAAGTTTCAAAATATAGTTGCCCTATCACTAAAATCTTCGTTCTTGCTGTCCAGTGTATTTTCAAAAACCTAAAATTATTGCAAAAATACAACTTGATGCCTCTAAACTCTTTAGGAAGTTTAGGAAGAACTTAGACACATCTAAGGAACTCAGAATAATACCCAATATGGCAATATTCAGAGATACTCACAAAAGACTTTTTATTAATATATTTTTGAAAATGAAATGGTAAAATTTCAGAGTTATCGCAGAATTAATTTACCACATAATAAGTAAATTTAGAGTCGTTCTTAATTACATTCGTAATTGTACTAGAAGTAATAATATAATGACAGTTATCAAATGCTATTTCACAAAAAGTGGAAATTTTATTCAAAGTCAGATTTGAATGGCGTACCACTGCCAAAATATTCTTTGATTCACTTGCATTCTTTCATATTGCATTTGAGACAACATTAAAATTAGGATAAGCACTAATTATTTAAGTAAAGCATTTAAATCAGTAAATATTTTCCTCGCCTTACTTAATTAGAGATATGTTTGCAGTTATGAATTTATTAATGGTTTTCAGTATTTGAGTCAAATCGCAAATGTTATTTTTCTTGTTATACATTAAATCGAACTATTTTATTACCGCTCAATAGATAATAATATGAGAATAACGTCTTAAGCAAAGTTCAAACATACAAAGATATCGGTTCACTTTTATTTCATTTATTTCCACTGATTTCACAATTTTAGTTAGTGAACTCATAAAATTATCAGAATGTTTCATTAGGTAAGTGTAATTGGATGTTTTAAACACCTTACTCAACCACGTATATTGCCTTAAAATACTGAACTAATATTTCTATCAAAATATTAGTCTAAATTGGCTGTAATTCAATCGTAGTGATATCAAGAAATAAAACAATTAAAATATCATCTTTGACGATAACAACATAAAAATATGACAAATTAAATATTGAAAAAATTTGGCTATCTTGAGTAATGAATTCTTAGATTGCAATATTCTCATAAGGCCAAGAGTAGGCCAAGGTTTGTTTGTACGTGTCAAAATTACCCTGAATGGTAGCCGGTGCATTTTAGAACATTACATTTATGAGACTCTGTTCTCGATACGATGGGAGGGCATTCAGAAAGCTCAGAACTTGACGTTGTAAAACCTTATCAGGATAGAGGCTGGGCTTGGGTTGTCATGTGTAGTGCCTTCTTAGTTCATTTTTTGACAGCTGGCTGTGAAAAGGCGTTTTCGTTATGGTATATTGAAATTTTGGAAGTTTTTGGTACGAATTCAGCCACAGCTGCCAGTCTCGGAGGATTCAGCGCTGCAGTTCGTTTAGTTTTAGGTAACTGTTATGTTTTGATCATATTATTTATTGTATGTAGCTCCGATCACTGTCATGCTTTGCACCAAGTTCACTATCCAGTATGTAGTAATGGCTGGCGGATTATTATCATGCATTGGAATGATCATCGCTGCCCGTACCACATCAATTTGGGGTCTTTATGTGGGTTTTGGAGTAATATATGGTAACATATTATTGGTTTTGTTTATTATTTTACTTTAGGTTTGGGTCTTACTCTCGTATTTACGCCTGCTCTAATCGTATGTACCATCTATTTTGAAAGACGTCGTGCCACAGCTCTTAGTCTTTCTCTTGCTGGTGCAGGTTTTGGTGCATTTTTCATTCCTCAATTAATTACATATTTGCTACAAATCTATGGCTATCGAGGTGCCATGCTACTAATGGCTGGAATAGTTCTGAACTACGTTGTAAGTGGGGCTATATTCTTCACCCCAATTGAAGAAAAAGTGGAAAAAACAGAAGATACAACGATTGCATTAGAGAAGCCTGCATCTTTCCTAGCCCGAATCAAATCAAGCTTTATCTTCCTCGAGTTACTTCGAGATGGATGGTTCATGCTCTTTATTTCTTCCTTCATTTTTAATATGATGGGTTCGGGACCCGTTACTAATCTTATTCTTCACTATGCCGAAGAACTTGGGGTTAGCTCTTTTGGAGGATGCTTTTTGAAATTCTCTTTTAATTTTTCCACCTAATACGATTTTCTTTAGACAAACGTAAAGGTCTCTGTCTTCTTATTTGCTATTGAAGGAGGTGTTCAAATCTTTGCACGAAGTCTGTCTGGACTACTTTTTGATCAGAAACTTATAAAAAAGTATCGAGGAATTGTTTGGTGTGCTGATATCATTTTATCTGCCACAATTGTATGCTTATTTGCTGCAGCAACAAACTTCATCACTCTCTGCATACTTATGGGCTTCAGGGGCCTCTTTCTGGCTATCTACATCTCCCATCAAACTCTCATGACTTGTGACATGCATAACAAGCCCAAAGACTCTGGTTTGCTCCCGCATGCAATCGGAATGACCCAGTTCTCTAAAGGCATTGGTATCCTTTTGGGATCAATGATTTCTGGTAAGCAAATATACTTCTTTACTTAATAAATTAAAAAAATCACTACCCCTTAAGTACTAAAAGCGAAAATATGGTGGCAAGACTTTTTAATATGAAGTTATTTGATTGTAATAGAAAAGCAATGCGTTGCAGGTAGCTTGGAACGCATTTTGAATGTCTGATTTTGTCGGTAGTTTGGTCCTTACAATTTGTTTTAACAAGAAGCATTGATTTTTGAGGCCCTTGCAGTTTGGATATCGCATAGATTTTTCGACAAATATTATTATTTGCATCATCACTTACATTTCAAACATTTTAATAAAGCACTTTTCGTCGGTGAACTTTCTTGCAGTTACGTGTTAGCGATGTATCAGTGCCTATTTTCTGGCTTTGTTATAACCCTGCTACGTCACAATGCCGACATTCCATATTAAGCGATAGAAGTGATTTTGCATATATAGGGCATAATCATGAGACCGGTAGACTTGTGAAAGAACATTTCAGGGTGTGTCTGCTCGTTGAAATTGAAACACACGTGTTACTCAACTCATCGTGGCGCCATATTTCGAGCAATTTGAAGTTTACCATTTTTGCCTTATCAGCCTTTGCGCATCCGAGTGCTCGTTTTGAACACATATCTGCAATTATTTTGACCTAATTTCTTGATTTAAATTTTTCCCTTAAAGCGACATCTTTGTATCCACATTGGCCTTATTGTTGCACCATTTAAAGTTGTGTGCTTACTAAAAAGGTTTTAAATCTTTTTTTATTGTCTACGCATATTTATTTAATTTCCTTAAATTCACACTTCATATCGATGCATCATGAATCCTTAATTGGTACAATTTTGTTCAATAAAAACATTTTGCTTTTCGTCTGGCTTCCGAAATTGCATAATCTCATGCAAAAGACGGAATTGATTGGTGGAATATTTCCTCACCTTCAGAGGTTTCTCATTAATTGTTTAAATAGTTAGTTTTAAAAATTCGTTTTCACCGCATGATTGGTCGTATAATTAGTTCTTTACCGAAAACTTAATTTAAACAGATTATTTTAAATCAGTAGTTACTTACTGCTATATTAGGAAACAAATTTAAATGGAGTGGAGCTTGAAAGTGAATGGGCCATTGGAACTGTGTATTTTCTGTCTAATTTTTCTTATCTCGGTCTTCTAATACAACTCTCAAACGAACGAAATCAGCTTGGACGAAGGGCATTTCTGCGACAAATTCGCTTTCCGTCATACCACTTCTTGACCTAAAATAATCAGCGTGGTTGGTCATTCATATCACTGGTTGGGCACAGATTTCTGCCAAACCTTTTGTCAACCATTTCGTAGTTAACCAGTACTATCCTTAAATCTTCCATGTTGTTCATTTCTCGTCCTTTTAAACGCTCTCTTCTACCCTTTTCTCAAAATTAAAGTCTACATCAATGCTCCCAAAATCTGCTTAATCTCGCCGTTATGATTGACTTAGG